TTTAATGGTTTTAAAGAAACATTTCGCTCCAAAATGAAAACCGTGTCATTGTTCACTCGAAAGAAGAATTTTAAAGCAGCTATTGAGAATTTGATGAAATTTCAAAGAATGCTAATGCAGTTATTTTCCATACCTAGGCAGTTCATAATCTACTAACGTCAAACCAAGTGCAAAATGCATTTTTTTTACGCAAATATAAATTTGTTTTTTTAGGGAAATAACTATTTCTTTAATGGTTTCGCGTTTGCATCCTCACCTCAGCTCCGAGGGCGGTCAGGGTTTCAATGAGCACAGCGGTCTGTAGAGTCATGTGCAAGCAGCCTGTGATGCGAGCGCCCTTCAGGGGTTTGGTCTGGCCATAGAGCTCCCTCATCTTCATCAGACCCGGCATCTCATTCTCAGCTATGTCAATGGCTTTACGTCCCCACTCAGCCAGGCTGATATCAGCTGGACAGAGAGAAAATGACAACAGATTAGGCATAAAGCAAATGCTAAATTCAGGAAACTGAAATAATTATTAAATTAAATAGTCAAACTAGTACAGATTATGTAAACTTTCACTAATGCATTTGAAAGCACAGTTAAATAGTAACAACAAATCCCATTATAACACGCAAGTTAAAGCGGTCTTTAAAGTGTCAGTTTCATATTTGGACATCTAGAATAGGAATTCAACAGATGACATCCAAAACCACATACCTAACATGTTTTGAACTGGTTGAGGAGATGGTGCTTGGTTTCATATGCACACTTAACAACCAATAGGCAACCCAAAATATATCCCTTTTCTCAGTCTGCACCGATTATATTTTACTACCCGGGTTATTACCACTGCAGACATGGAGGAAAACTCACCTGCCAGAGAAGATGCTGTTTTTGCAAAGTGAATTTCCACAATTTTCTTATTCCGGTTTCTTCCAGGTTTTCCACTGACCATGGAAACCTTGTAAGATGCCTTCAGAATGGGCTCTTAATAAATAAGAGTGCAGTACTGGTGCACTTTGACATTTCATTCACTGATTTTGAAAAGCTGAACTCTGATCTCTTAAGACTAGGGAGCAAAGTCCAGATGGATTTACTATTGAATTACTTGAGCCTTATCTGCACAGAGCACATCAGAGAAGTTTGCTGAAAAACAACAACAGACGCTGCGACTGCCTGAGTGACAGGTGCCAAATCCTGACGTGCTGACGTGTGACTAAACGCGACGCAAAAACAACAGTTTAGATATTAACTTAAGTGTGTTTAATCTGTCGCAACTCAAAGTACAGCTTTTTAGCGCCTAACATTCATTTTTGTTCAACCACGAGCAGAAGGAACCGTTTTTTTGAACTGGACCTTTTCAATGAATCGAATGAACTGATTCACAAAACCATTTGGAGTGAACCGAGGGTTTCATTGATACGAACTGGAAATATGTTTATGACTTGTATGACGTTTATTAGCATGCAAACGATACATAGTATTTTTTTTAAAAAGTGCCAATACTTTGTAGTCAGTAGATAAATCAATTAATCAGCCCGTAAATTAAGTTTAATATTTTTTAATGTATATGCAAATCGCATTTAGGCTCTAAATGACTATGTTCTAACTGAGATACACAAAATTACTATAACAGCTATTAATAAAACATGATTGAAAAACCCAATCAAATGTTTCCTTACTTTAAAGTGGAAGTGTCAGGGTCCACGTGATTACGTAAAGAGCAGCTGAGCAATTTTATGAACTGTTCACTATACTGTTCAAAAGAACCGATTCGCAAAAATGAATGACTACGCTCAACGAAAAGTGGCGGCGCGTTTGACTACTGCATTATGGGAAATGTAGTCCAGCAGCGCAGGCAATCTCATAACATGGAGATTCTACAGTGCACGCAAAAAACTACAACTTCCAAACTTTCTTCACGAATGGAACCACGCTAGCTTGTTTGACAGGTGTTAGATATAAAATCAAATAAAATATTTTGTGAGCAAGCACAAAATGGCTATAATAATAAACTAGACATATTAAGTGCGCGAACGGTGATTTTATAGGGGTGGGATTGCAATAGTGCGTCTCGTGCAAGGCAGCGCTGACAATGACGCCTCTACTGCCATGTGATACATAAGCACTAGCAAGATCTGCAACAATTCATGCTCGACCAAAAATACAACTCAGAACCCTTTTGCAGAGAATCGTACGCTTTATCGAGAGTCTATAAAAGAGCTTATTAGAAATCACCAGAGTGGAATTAGCTAATTAGCACTGGCGGCAAAAACATGATTGCATGATTTTGTGCAGAACAGCATCGAGCATGATCTGAAGCCAATAATCAAATAAACTTATACTAACCAACTTTGAATGGAAGCTTCTCTGACATTTTGCTGTGCTGTCGTTAGGTAAGCCTGATATGGGTTGGTCTTGAGCCCGGCTGTGGACCTGAGTGAGTGCAGAAAAGGAGGTAACTTATGTGAACTTGAATATAAGTGTGTACAAACCGAATGTTGTAATATTCATGATATCGTGCAGCCTCTCATTTCTCACTGGCCGAAATATTCCCCGCCTTATCGCTCTAAATAAACCATCGTGGGCGTGTTCATTTGCTACGATAGCCAATGAGAATCCACGGTGGTTTAAGGCGTGTAATATCATTTGGAATGTGGAGATCTTGATTAATACAAGTTTAAACTGGCTTTTGTGTTTTACCATTATTTAACATCATGAGGACTGATCTGAGCTGGTGGGAAGAAAGATGCTTTTTGGATTTTTTTTGTAATTTATAGGAATTTCACTAATATATATATATATATATATATATATATATATATTTATATAAATATTTTTGTAAAATCCCTATAAATTAGAGCTACTATGAACAGTTTCAGTTGAACAGGGGTCATTTTGGGTTATTTGAATAACACTAGGGCCCCCTGTATAAAGTCAATTCAATATGTCCTGAAAATATGCCCCATGTTTATCTCCATATCTGAAATTGTCTGGTTTGTGTGATGAAATTAAACCTGAAAGACTGAAGATTTACATATCATTGACATATTTACTAAACACTCTGTCAATCATACAATTCTTTAATTAAATGTTTAATGGATGGTATGAGGTCAGAATTGTGCAACTGACTGATCTGAATGAATTGAGGTAGATTATTACTTAGACTAACTAAGTTTGGGGTCGGTAAGATTTGTTAATGCTTTTGAAAGTCTTATGCTCTCCAGCACTACATTTATTTGTTCAAAAATACAGTAGTAATGTTGTGAAATAATATTTAAAATATTTTCATTTTCATATTCAAATTTCACATTTCAAAAGTTCAGAATCGTACAATTTTTTAAAAATGTTTTTGAGAGTAGTTTATGCTCACCAAGGCTGCATTTATTTGATCCAATATACAGTAAAAACAGTAATATTGTGAAATATTATTATAAAACAGCTATTTTTTATTTCAATGTATTTTAAAACGTAATTTATTCCTGTGATGCAAAGCTGAATATTTCACATTTCAAAAGTTCAGAATCGTACAATTTTTTTAAAATGTTTTTGAGAGTAGTTTATGCTCACCAAGGCTGCATTTATTTGATCCAATATACAGTAAAAACAGTAATATTGTGAAATATTATTATAAAACAGCTATTTTTTTTAAATATTTTATTTCAATATATTTTAAAACGTAATTTATTCCTGTGATGCAAAGCTGAATTTTCAGCATCATTACTCCAGTTTTCAGTGTCGCATGATCCTTCAGAAATCATTTTAATATGCTGATTTGCTGCTCAAGAAACATTTCTGCCTATTATTGTTAAAAACAGCTGTGCTGTTTAATATTTTTGTAGAAACTGATCAATTTTTTCAGGACTCTTTTATGAACAGAAAGTTCTGAATTTATTTGAAATAGAAATCTTTTTCAGCATTTCTTTATTGTCACTTTTAATTCATTTATTTTTTTATTCATATATTTTAACTAATCTTACTGATCCCAAACTTTTGAATGGAAGTGTATATGTATTTATTTTTCACATAAGTGCTCTTACTGTATTGAAGCCTCATTTTAGTTGAATTCTTTAAGTCATGTACCAGGACCAATAGAAACTCAGTCAAAATATTTTAATACCAATAATAAGTGAGATTATAACAATAATGCTATAACAATGATAAATCCAGCACCTACAAGATAATGAAAACATACAAATGTATTAAAGCTTTGTCTTTCACATCCTATACAAATCAGTTTGCATTATTACAGACAGCATGTTGCTTCAAAGCCTTAATGTTCCTTTCCACTGCAGGAAAGAAACAGAAAAGCACCATAACATATTTCATTGGGTGTCTCTGAAAGATTACTGACTGTATGCTTGTTAATGGACCAGTGGGCATTCTCCTACCTGGACACTGTTTCTACAAATTCATATTCAATAGACAAAAACACATTTTCAAGGTGAGCACTGCGTCAACGCCTCTCGTTTACTTTGAATGGAGTGACGTCAAGCGTTGCCGAAATGAACTGTGGGTCCGTCGCGTCGCGTTGGGTCCGTTGCTTGCGGCAGAAGTTGAAAACCTTTCAACATTTCAAGCGCCAACGCAGGCGTCAGCCAATCAGATCGCCTTATGCAAATACCCTGGTGCAGACACTAGCCAATCGCGTTTATGCACCACCAGAAAACTAACGTGATTGGCTGTTGTCACTATGACGGTCGCGTCAGCACCAAGCTTAAAAGAAACGCCCTCCATCAAGCGTCGACGCCGACGCCCCGTGTAAATGTACCATGATGCTGTGAAGTGCATAAATAAAGAAATATTAGGCAAACAACGGAAGGAATATCTATTGCTCAAATAAAAATCCAGAGAGGTATTAATTTGGTAAAACTTTAATGTAGGTGTAAGGTTGAAAGGCAGAGAAGGACAACATAAATTAAGAGTGTCAAAAAGACAAACAAACAATAAACAACGTGAATGAAACTTTCCGAGTCTGATAAGTTTAGTGCTTCTCTCACCTCTCAATATTCAATACTCAAATGTCATACTGTAACATACTGAAGAGTCCTTCCAGGTCCTTTAGTAACAGGTATTGGAGTGAGGTTTATGCCTTGTATAGCGTGTATGGGTTTCGGGGAGCATTAATTGGCAGCCCACGCCTCCAGGTCTTTCATGTCATCCTCATCCTCTTCTTCTTTCTTCTTTGCTGCATTTATGAAAGACATTCAAGAACTGCTTTTAATACAAGAGATTTGCAGCACCAAAATGACCAGAAATGACTTAATATGTCATGTGAAGTACCTGTTACTAATACAAAGGTTATGTTTTCCAAGTAAGTTATTTCTTTATGAACAATTTCAACAACAACAAATAAATAAATAAAAATAAAATGAATAAAATCACACATACACTGTAAAACATATTTTTCCAAGTTGAAAATAAAACAACTATTATAGTAGGTTTAGTAAGAAAATATGATAACACTTTACTTTAAGTAGTTTTAATGCATTAATTATGCCTTGTAATGCAAAAATCATATGATCTCATGAATAGTTATAGCCACATTTATAACACATTATAATACTTATCTATTCATTGTTACAACTTTAGAAAGTATAATGCACTACAATTGTCCTTAATGAGTAAGCGGATCGTTGATGTTGTTGCATGAGCATTTTATAACACACATGCAATGTGCTAACATCCTTATAAATGAACTAGACCCATTTAGACCAGTATTCAGTGCGGTCCACTTGTGATCAGTTCACCCAAATTAGATGTTAATAGCGGGAGTAAACGGCATCTTTGTGAAAGCACATGGAAATCTCCCAAAAACTCAGCAGGTGAAGGTTCATCATGGCTGTGGACTCGGAGTTTGCTTGTTTTAATCTTACCTCATCAAATTCCTCCCCAAACCCGACAGGCTTTGAGATTGCGTCTGAAATTTCTTGCGCCAGCTCCTGCTGTTCTGTGATGTCCTGCATGAGTTCATCCACTTTGTCGATGTCCCTGAAAGTACAAATTTAGATATATCCTATATCAAAGTGCCATACAGAATCCTAATAGCTTGCACTGGTAAACTAATCTTGTTTAAGATCTCATAAACCCAAAACCTTGCCCTAGTGAGGCTGATACAAAAAGGGAAGAAAACACTGATAATAGAAGAGAAGCTCCTCACATGTTGTCATGGGCAGCTTTCATGGCCTTAGCAGCAAAGCCCATATTCTTGATGACCTCAGTGTTGGTGTGAGCGTTCTCTAGCGCCTCACGCTGGAACTCGATGGTAGAAAGAGTGCCATCAATCTGAGCTAACTGCTTCTCATAGCGCTTCTTACGCTTCAGTGCCTGCAATGCAGCTGTTTCAAACAGAAAGAAAGGTAAAGCCATTAAAGTGCAAAATAAGAGAATTTTGGAACCCTATAGAAAAGTATTGCATAGTATTAAGTGTGGTTTTATTTAAAAGAGTTAAAGAGAACACTATGTAATAATTATGGGTCAATTGGTTTAATTTGAAGCCCCTTTTATTTCAATTAAGATTTAGCACAGTAAGCGTCATGCATTATAAGTCCTCCTGTTACCCAGTAATGTGGTTTGTGCACTATATTGTCAAGTGGCTTTGGTAAGAAAGTGTTTGCATGGAAAATAAATGTACAGTAAAGGTAAGATGGAAAGCCCACAGTGTGAGATTCTCAATACTAAATTAAAATTGTGAGGTCTCTGGTCCACAACAGATTTGATTAGGGTTTTACCATGGAAAGTAAAGTCTACTACTGTTAATATTTCTCAGGGAAGCAGTGGTGCAGAGTTAGGGACTCCTAAATGAGGCACACTCACCAAACTTAATCAGGCAAGTGAGCTGCAAAAAAAAGAGAAAAAAGTGTTGCTTTGTAGGGAGAATGTGATTGGCAGCCTAATAATGAATTAATGACAAGCACATCAGTACAGACATGCTTTTCTTGTAAAGTTTGAATCCTGCAAAGCCGGTCAAGAAAAAAAGTGAAAGAGATTATATTTTGCACCAAGTCAGTAAACCTATTTTAGGACCATTACAATGTGTTTGTATTGTAACATTTAAAAAAAAAAAAAGATCTGCCCATTCTCATTCTCAAAATAATAAAAGTATTATTTAAGTTTTAAAGTGTTTATAAGCAGGGTTATTATCGTTAACTAAAACTAAAACCCATTCAAAACATTTTCATTACTTGAAATAATATAAATAATAACTGAATAAAATAACTGAACTGAACTAAAATAAAATATTTTAAAAAGTGTAACTTATTTTATTTCAACTAGGGTACTTATACCGCAAATATATATTCTTAAGGACATCAAAACCTAAAATAAAACTCCAGAAAGGTGTACAATATGGGACCTTTAAGTACTTTAGTTAAATAACTAAAACTAACAATTAAAATGCATTGAAACTATAGACCTATTTAAAAAAACAACCTAATAAAATTCTATGTCACAGTAGTAATTGCCTTTCATTTATCCTTTTTTTTTTTGAAAATCAGGATGACACTGGAAAATTACATTTGAAATAGATGTCATAATGCAAAAAAAAAATAAAAAAAATAATTCAGACTAAATTGTCAGTATACCAAACACAATGTTCCATTTTTGCTTTCTACAGATTAGAATTTTATACTCTGTCAAAACAATGATTTGAGTTGTCAATTTATTTGTAGAAGATAAAACAGCAGCTGTGTTTGTGCAATTTATGGAATGTAACCTTAATTTATCGGGTTTGCAATACAATAAAACCCTCAACAGTCTCTTACGTCATGTGCACGTTAAAAAGGGGCATTCCAAAGACGTCACCTGACACAAAGGTCATGCAAATTAAACACGTTTTCCATGAAGACATTGGAATTGTAAACTATGACAAAACATCAGTCCCACACCCCTAGCAGTCAAAACCATCGGCGGCGCCATCCGTCGTGTTCCAGCGGCCCTCACAGGATAATCAGATCAATTATTGATTACCTCTGTTCTGGGGACTTTAAATGTGGAGTTGTATTACAGGCCTTACAAACTAGACGGCTCTTTACAGTGGTCCTTATATTGCCCTGAAATTATTTATGGAGCTATCTCTGGATTTGGACAACTCTAGTAGCATCGATGGGACAGAAAAAATACAGATTTATAAATATACGTATTGTAACTGCACTTACATCATTATATTTGCACACCCTGAATGTGACACTAATGGAAACCATGACAAAGTAGGAGTTTAAAACAACAAGTTTTTTTCCAGGTTTTGAGCAGATGGGCAGTTTGCAGTCCTTTTTTATGTATTTAGTTCAGTAATAACAGTCAAATACACAATGTATTTAAGTAGAGAGCATTATTTAACAGTTTAGAGAATGTCAAATAAAGAAGAAAAACAACAACAAAAGTAATTAAAAAAAACATACAAACAATAAACTTAACATTTGGACAGCTGCATTAATTTTAAAATATTTATTTTTTAATTTTTGTAATTTAATTTTGTGTTCTTATTTTTAAAAGGGTTTTAAAGTATATCTTATCACTGTTACAGAAGGTAATATATGAGACTTTTTAAATTATTCTTGACTTGTACAATTTTGCTAAAATTACTAAAAGATTATTGGAGTAATTTTCTTACTCAGAAAATGTTTACTTTGTAAATAAAGTAAAATATCTTCAGGTTCTAAATTTAAGGCTTTTAAAACATATTCTCTCCAAAATGAGAGAAAGAAAGGGCAATCCAAAAAAAAGTTAAATATCTTTAATTGATGTGTTGCAGAAAGTACATTTACCAGTATGTATATATTTACTAAAGGCTGCATTTGCAATTTAACATCTGTGGATAATTTTGTATATTATTTCCAGTATTTTGTTCTCGGAGTCAACCAACATGACGTACATGTTTGTCATCACCATGGATACAAGGATAGGTCAAATGTTAACTGATGGAGGGCTACAACATTTTATCTGTCTATCCCAAGCATCCTGAAAGAATTATTAAAATTATAAAGCAAATTATCGTTCTAAAATCTATCCCTAGATCATTCCATTTCCCAGTTTTGTATGACAGCTCTCAACGACAGCTCTCATGTGTTTTAGTAAAAGTCTAGCCCTGGTAATTAGTCTGTTAATTATATTATTTCAGTTACAAGATAGGTTTTTAACGAATTCCTTTGTATAACAGACCAACATAAAACAACGCTAAACTAACGAAGCAGTAACAACCACAGTGCCAACCTAACCGGAGTTAACCAGCTAATCTATGCCAGGTAACTCACCTCGTTTGTTCTTCGTGCCGTTTCTCTTGGCCGTTACAAGCTCCTGTTCGATCTTCTTCTCCAGGAATTCTTGTTTCTTGGTCAACATTTCTTCTGTTTCTCGCAGTCGCTGGATAGCCTCTTGGGGGCTTGAAGATTTGCCCCCTTTTCCACTGCTACCAAACAACTTCCCAAACAAAGACATCTTGCCCTCGGGACGACAGCAAGGAGTGATATTAGACTGATTTTTGACTACTGGTCTAGACGGGACACCTCAGTGCGGCTGCTGTCTGTCACTGACCCGACAGGCTTGCTGTTGTTTTCTCTGCTTCCTCCTCTTCTTCTTCTTCTTCTTTTGTGTTTAATGGCGGTTGGCAAACCAGCTTAAGGTGCATTTCCGCCACCTACTGGGATGGAGTGTGAGGCCTCGATGAACGAATATATCATATACTAATAAAAAAAACTTTAAAAAAATAAAATAAAAAATACTAAATTCTTCTAATCAAATCTGTATCTCTCAGATATTTTAGAAGAAAATCATAAACCCTTAGATGTTTCTGTGCATTCTGAAATATATTCATAACTGAAATGTCATTGATTTCCATATCTCTTAGTTTTTCAACAAGTTGCTTTCTTTGTCTATTATATGCCTCACAATGTAAAAGCACATGTTCAACTGTTTCTGTTATTCCACAGTAACTGCAGCTATCTGACTCACTTTTTCCTATTATATGCAATGAATAATTAAGGTTAGAGTGTCCTATACGGATCCTGGTTATAACAGTATCTTCTCTTCTGTTTCCATATACCTTTCTTTCAATCCCCACTTTCTGTTGAATGCTAAATAAGTGTCTCCCTTTTGACTCTTTATTCCATACGTCTTGCCACATACTTCCAACTGCTGTTTTTGCTTCCTCCTCTCTAACCCAGGCCGCATGACATCATCGCGTCACAGGAACATGACTCACGTCATTACGTATCGAGCGTCTCCACTCCGTAATGATTACAAATAAGAAAATATTATATTATACAACTATTAATATATTACCAGGGGGTCCCATATACATAAAAGTAATTTTTACAATTTTAGGAAATGTTATACTTGATTTTAAACTATAACGTAGGGTTTTATTAATGTAAACGCAAAAATTGCTATGGTACAAAGTATTATTATTATTATTATTATAGGTCGTAAGTATATATGAACAGTAAGCATCGGGTGATATGAAATCGTATGCAAACAAACTGCAACAAACCATCCGTCAATCCGGGCATTGCTACAAAATAAAAGAACCTTCTTCATGTAGAATCCTCAGATAATGTTTAAAAGCAATAAATAATAATGTACTTAATTTGTTAACCTTTATTAACCTTATTGTTCAACACAATTAATCCAAGCAGCATAAGGGGATTCACCAATATATATTGCGATTAAGAGAGAGAGAGATTAATGAATTGATATTTTATATATAACACACTGTTTAAATGCCAAAAACTTGAATCAATCTGAATTTGTGGAATTTACCTATAATTCAAATATTCATAAACAGAAATTCAACCTCTTTATTTTGAAATTTTACTCAACTAGTTCATGGTTAATGTGCATTTTGTATCATTAAACTGCGGTGATTGGTTCAATTCCAGGCGACAGTATGATGAGCGTACACCATAGACTGTATAAAAACAGGCGTACACATATCTATGATGATGAGTGGCATGTTTGCCAGCCAATGAGACTGTACGCTGGCTTATGACGTAATTCCGGCGGACGCACAGGCGTTGTTTGCTCTCGTCCTTGATCAGCGCGAATCGCAGCATTTGACGGACGTAAGACACACATTTTCGCGGAAAAATGGTTGCTTACTGGAGACAAGCAGGACTGAGGTAAATGAATGACAGTTAACAACGTCAAAAGCTGTGAAATTAGTATTTTAATTGCGGTACGCTCTGTAATCTGTGCACTATATATGTGCTGTAGAGTTGGTTTGGCCTTGCTCTGTATGAATTTTACTGTAGTAATACTAGCGTCGTGTTGAATTTGAATCACAGTGGACATATTCACACGAGCAATTTTGAGTTATTCACTGACTTAATATGTGTCTTGTTATTTCAGTTACATCAGGTACTCGGCTATCTGCGCCAGGATCGTGCGGGCTGCACTGAAGCCACAGTTGAAAACTGAGGCGATTAAAAACGCAGAATCCAATGTGAAGGTCACTAAAGTGAAGACTGTATAATGTGAGTTAAAATTTCAGCTGTTTATCTAAGCTCTACTGCACTTGTAAAAAACGATGCATTAACTGACTCCTAAAACCTTTGTTGTTAAAATTGATTGTCTTCTCTGCTTTTTTTTTTTTTGTAGGATCTGTCATTACATCCTTCAATCCCCACTTCTCTACATACGTTCTCCTTCGGATTTACAAGAAGACCTGCAGTTATGATGATTAAATGAAAAGAGCTGTGTTCTTTTGATAATAAATGATGAAGAGTCTCAAACGAAGACCGTCTTCACTTGGTGTGTTTTTATTCTAAAGAGTTTTGTTTAGCAGGTGTTCGCTGAGCAAACTGGGTGTATTGTCATGTTAATCTATCAGATCCGTTTTACTTCTAAGTAGTGCTGGTTATGTCTGGTTTTAGAGCATCAGTAGAAGAGACACTAAAACTGTTACCGGTTTGCAGTCCTGTAGTTATTTAAAAATAAAGTAAATGTTGCATTTAGTATGATCTCCGCGTAAGATGTGTGCAAAGTTGGCCTTTCAATATTTACAGTGCTCTTTGTGTTTAACTAATATTTCTCAGGTTCTGCTAGGAAGGTGGTGTACATCAGGTTTAACTTTGTAGAGATGATAACTATTATTTTACATAAAACAGCAAGATTTTCAGAGATTAATCTATTTTATTTAGATACGTACAGTGAAACCGCTTAGATTCACAAATTGAGTAGTTTAGTCTCTGTTGCTGGTATCCCAAAAAATGTATTTTAATACATTTTGCAAGAAAACTGATGGTTGCATTACATAAATGGTAAACACATGAATGTTTTTAGCACTATAATGCTCAAGTACAATGCAGATACATCAAATTTATTATGAAACAGTTGCAGTTTACATTGGTAAAATTATTTTGTATCTTATGCTTTCAAAGGATAAGCAAAATTAACAAAATTCAAAAATGTAGCATTTAAATATTGACAAATAATGACAGAAAAATGTAATCCTCTATATAGAACTAGTACATCACACAAAAGAAAAAGGTTTTGACTATCTGTTTTTCCCTGTATTTTTCTCAAGACGTCTATAGATATTCGTTCATTACAGAACATACAGAAATTGTTTTGTGTTCTCCAGTGATGTTACACAACAATATAGGTTAATTATCTTTATGATATCTTTATATAAATTAAGTTTTACAATAAACTATATACTACCTTTCAAAGGTCTGGGGTCAGTGAGATTGTTTCTTTAAAGGAATGAATACTTTTACTTGATAAGGATACATTAAATTGATCAAACATTTATACATTCAAATAAATGCTGTTCTTTTGAACTTTCTATTCATCAAATCCTGAAAGCTGTTTTCAGCATTAATAATAAACAATTTTCTTTCTGAAAGTTTAGCTTTCCATCACAGAAATAAAATACATTTCATAAAATATATTATAATTAATATTCACAATATTACGGTTTTACTGTTTTTTTTACTGTTTTTTTAAATGCAGCCTTGGTGAGACTTTTTAAAAAACATATCGACCCCAAACATTTGAAAATATATATAATAGGAAAGATTAGAAAATTATATTTGAATTTTGAATATATCCTATTGTTCTGTATTTATGTAATTCATCATTTCCTCCTGGAGGTCAGAGATATTTCACAGTTTGCTATGAACAGTGGCTCCAAATGGTATCTGAACACTTAAAGGTGCAGTGTGTGAATTTTTTGGGGAAGTCGTGGCCTAATGGTCAGAGAATCGGACTCGTAACCCAAAAAGGTTGCGGGTTCGAGTCTCGTACCGGCAGGGATTGTCGGTGGGGGGAGTGAATGTACAGCGCTCTCTACCACCTTCAATACCACGACTGAGGTGCCCTTGAGCAAGGCACCGAACCCCCAACTGCTCCCCGGGCGCCGCAGCAAAAATGGCTGCCCACTGCTCCGGGTGTGTGTTCACGGTGTGTGTGTGTGTTCACTGCTGTGTGTGTGCACTTTGGATGGGTTAAAATGCAGAGCACTAATTCCAAGTATGGGTCACCATACTTGGCCACATGTCACTTTCACTTTAGAATTTTAGCGGCATCTAGCGGTGAGGTTGCGAATTGCAACCACCGGCTCAGTCCCCCGCTCACCCCACCCTTTAGAGAAGCTACGGTGGCCGACACAGATGTTGTCGGTAAAGACAGCAGAGAGCAATGAGATTTCTTTACAAAGGTAAATTAAGGAATTATATTTACTTAATCATTCAATAAATCGATGGTATTGCGAATATTAATGTACTTGTTCATCATTGTGTCAGTGTTTTATTCGCAAGAACAACAAAGTGACGAAACGCACTCTGTAGAGCAGTTTGTCCGTTTAGGGCTACTGTAGAAACACGGTGGCGACTTCCGTGTAAGGGGACCCGCGGTGTATGTAGATAGAAATTGCTCAATCTAAGATAATAAAAACATAACGGCTAATTAAGGTCTTTATACACTTCTGAAAACATAGTAATGTATATTATATTGCATTTCTGTCAATAGATCGTTGTAAATATTACACATTGCACCTTTAAGGCACATTGTCATTTAATTACATAAAATATATATATATAAAAAGTTTCATTTAAAAAGCACACCTTTCAAGCCAAACATTTTTTCTAATGCAGTATAACTCATATATCAGTTTTAACTGTATCTTAAGTGTCTAAATACTTTTTGGGGCCACTGAATGTTCTCACTCTTCACACAATCAGATCCACTCTTGCTATATACACTGAAGCCCACGTGTCATTCGCTGACTGAAGTTTCAGTGACCGCCTCAGTCTTAATCTCCACTCGAGTGCTGTGTGCTGTTGATGACAGACCCTCCTCTTCTGCCTCTTCATCTTCTGCATCGTAATCCATATCGGCGGTGGCATCCTGATACTGCTGGTACTCTGAAACCAAATCATTCATGTTGCTCTCGGCCTCTGTGAACTCCAGCTCATCCATGCCCTCCCCCGTGTACCAGTGCAGGAAGGCCTTGCGTCGAAACATGAGCGCGAACTGCTCTCCAATGCGTTTGAATATCTCCTGGATGGCGGTGTTGTTTCCGATGAAGGTGGAGGCCATTTTGAGGCCTCGTGGTGGGATGTTGCAAACGGCCACTTTGACATTGTGAGGGATCCAGTCTACGAAGTAATTGCTGTTCTTCTGCTGAATGGCTAGCATTTGCTCGTCGACCTCTTTAGTGGACATGCGACCGCGGAAAACGCCCGCCACTGTCAGATAGCGCCCTCGACGTGGGTCGCACGCGGTCATCATATTCCGAGGGTCGAACATCTGCTGGGTGAGCTCGGGCACTGTTAGGGCACGGTATTGTTGGTTACCGCGTGCAGTGAGAGGAGCGAAACCTGGCATGAAGAAATGGAGACGTGGGAAAGGCACCATATTGACGGCCAGCTTCCGAAGGTCAGCATTCAGTTGACCTGGGAAGCGAAGGGAGGTCGTGACCCCGCTCATGGTGAGGGATACCAAGTGGTTGAGATCTCCATAAGTTGGTGTTGTGAGCTTTAGAGTGCGGAAGCAGATATCGTACAGTGCTTCGTTATCAATACAATACGTCTCGTCTGTATTCTCAATCAGTTGGTGGATTGATAGGGTCGCGTTATATGGCTCGACTACTGTATCGGAGACCTTCGGCGAGGGCATTACGCTGAAACTATTCATGATACAGTCAGGATACTCTTCTCGGATCTTATTGATAATCAGGGTGCCCATTCCCGAACCAGTGCCACCGCCCAGAGAGTGGACGAACTGGAAGCCCTGCATGCAGTCGCAGCTCTCGGCTTCGTTACGAACGCGATCCACAACCTGCTCCACAAGTTCTGCGCCCTCAGTATAGTGACCTTTGGCCCAGTTATTGCCAGCTCCGGAATTGCCTTTACATTTATAAAGAGAAAACAGCATCAGGAATGATGTTATGGCATATGAGAGGCATTGAGTCATTGTAACAGCCAATCAGATTTCAGAGTTTGAGTTCGGGTTTGTTAACATTACAATAGCCAGGGAGGATAACTTTACAATAACTATGAAGTTTTAATAGTCATTATAATTCTATGGAAATAGTGAAGTCCACACCACAATAATAACAATAATGAAACAGAGGAATTATATTGTTGCATCATTTCCAACTGATGAATGATAAAAACATTGGCAGCCAATAAGAATCCATTACACTTTTAAGAGCACATGCATTTAAAGCAACAGACATCAAAACTACAGCGCACATTATTGTGTACTGGTGTGGATACTAACTTACACATATTCATGGTTGTTCATATAGATTCATAGTTAGGATAAAATCATTAAAAATGAAATCCATCCATTACATGCACACATTTGGCTGCATGCAAGGTATGCATTTTAATATCTGATGCACTCTGGGAACCAAATTCATGGCCACTGATAATGTAATGTGCTACTGTTTGAGCTGCTTATTGTAGAATTAGGCTAATAAACAAAATAATGTAATTGATCTATATGATCTACATTGCATATTACATATATCATGAAACACACTTAAAAATACAGGTTCTTTATTGGCATTGCATGGCTCTATAAAGAACCTTTAACATCCATAGAACCTTACTATTCCTTACCATACCATTCTTTCTTTCTTTCTTTCTTTTTAAATAATGTTCACACTAAGAAAAAATAGTTTCTTTTAAGAATGGTTTACTGGAAAGTTCTTTGTGGAGCCTGAAATGGCTCTTCTGTGGCAACACTGTGAAATCCCCCTTTTGGAAGCTTTATTTTTAGTTTCAGAAGTGATGAAACCAACCCTATATAGTTTATAGAAGTCAACTCATGTAGTATCTAAATAAAATGTCTTTAATGTAGATGATTGCTGGCTCACCGTGTATAAAGTTATCCGGTCTGAAGAGCTGTCCTATGTGACTGCCCCTCACGCTGTCCATAGTGCCCGGCTCCAGGTCCACTAACAATGCTCTTGGAACATACTTGCCACCTGACAGGCAATGAAACATGTCAATGAGACTTTTGTTACAGGAAGTTACTCTGTTCCTCGAGTCCAAGACACATTTACCAGATAAAGTCACCTACTTTTCACACAATATATATTTTCTACGATTTACAGTAACAAAAATACAGATTGGATATAACAGAATAATAAAAAATATATAAACTTTTACCCAAAATTCAACCCAATATAGACTACCATCTTATACATATAACATATTATATAATGTAGATATTTATTCATGTGCTAAAAATGTATGAATGTCATTTGGGTTTGTGAGTTGATGAAAAGCTAATAAAAAAATTAAAATAAATAAAAAATAAACAAATGGGGCTACATGATAATTATGATATAGCTTAGTGCGTTTATGAACTCTAAGGCTGCAATTTAATTAAATGTCTGTATAGTCTCATCTGCATTTCATGATTATAATGATCAAGTATAAAAAAAATTACAATTTAATTTTACAACAGAAATGTTATTTTTATTATTAAAAAGGGGGTTTGGCTGACAAAAAAGTTTGGGAATCCCTACAAATGTTTTAATAGCCACTGTATACAAGCATAAAATATGAATGTAACATGTAGGTCTGCATACCATGTGCTTCATTGAAGTAAACATTGACCCTCTCCAGCTGAAGGTCCATGTCACCCTCATACGCTCCTACTCTGTTAATACCATGTTCATCACTGATCACCTCCCAGAACTGCAAACACATGGAAATGAGACACCATATTTTCTCCAATGAACTGCATTGTGACCTGCTTAAACTGATAACTTCAGCACTGAATGAAATGTTTTGTCATTTCAAATGACAAAAATGGTCATTCTCTACACACAGAGTCAAAGGAAGCCTTCAATAACTGACTTATGTGTTGAGTTTAAGTGACTTGCAATTGTTTTTCCGGATGCCATTCAGTTTTGACCACAATTCTACTGCATCTATCACTCAGACATTTACAGGCCGCTGAGCTCATTTCCATGATAAAGAAGGCCCACCCCGTCACAAGAGGCTCTGTGTCTCTTATCTTACATTAGACCACTCTGGGGTGAACACCCTTGACCGCACGTATCATAACTTTATATATTTATTCACTTTAAAAATGCATTTCATACTTCAAATATAGTAAAGAAGTTTTTGCTATTGCTTTTAACTGAAAAAGCACATTATTGCAATATTAAGCTACTAACAGAATGCTGTTCAAAATGACAGTAGACTCTAATAAAATGACTATAATAATAAAAGAAATGCATGACATAAACTGAGAATTTAACTACGAATAAATACTCATAATACAGAAATGCATGTTCATTTGTCTGTTAAGCCTGCATCAGATTGTCTAGCTTGAATCAAGTTGAGGTTAAGATGATAATGCAGCTGCTAATCATAAAAATACACATAAAAACCCATCGCACCTTTGAGCCGATCTGATTCCCACACTGTCCGATCTGTAGATGAACAATCTCACGCATAATGATAGATTTGGCACGTTGAAAGAGCAGGAATAGCCTTGACCGTGAGTCTGAGGTGCCCACTGTGTGTGTAATACCACTGAAGACATCATCAAGAGGGAGTCACCCATATGTCACACAATGTACTAGTCAGTGTGACACTTAATTAGCAAGCTAGTACAACAGACTACTGCCTTTCAGTCAATAACAACAATTGTGTTGCAGGGTCAAAGTTTAGCCCACTGTGAATGACAGAATTGATGATGTTTGTTAAGAATTTAAGGGTAGTTTAAATATTTGAATATTTAAAATGAAAAAAGTCCTATCATCATGAGCTTGGATCAGTGGCCGTCTCTCTGGCGTGCATGATAAGACTGTTGCGGGCCCTATCTGCTGCAATGCAGTGACACAGACCGTCAGAAAGACAGACAGACCACATACTCATTGTCTAAGTGTTTCCTGCAAGGAGAGTTTGTTTATAGCCTATATGTTGAAGCTGGCAGTTCTGTACAGTACAAACTTTTACATCTTCCTGGTCTGGAATTTCAGTTTGGAGGCCAGGCAGCATACTCAACTTTCCCATTAAGTTAAAAACACTATTTCTGAATGCCCCAGTGTTTTTTAATATTTTGAAAATGTTTTTCTTGCATATGCAAATTTTAAGGGAATGTTCCAATTTGCAAACATTATTGGAATTTTGTGTTTGAATGTTCTCTGAACAAGTAGTAACATTAAACATGTTTCAGGAAAAAACATTCCATGAACGATGTATGAATAATGTTTCTGTGCTACATTTTTGAGAATGACCAGATAACTTTCAATGAACACTCTATTAAGAATATTTGTTTGTAACTTTTGAGAGAACCTTGACAGAAAGTTCTGTTAGCTGGTTATATACAGATTTATATTTTACCAACAGATGCCACTGTTGTGCTCCAAGTAGTTTTCACAAGAACTGTTTATTTTACTGCTACATTTAAAAATGGACTCAGTCAGTCATCTTCGTATCATTTATTAAGGTGATTCTTGACTATCAACCATGAATAGTATAAGTTAAGATAAAGCACAAGTTATTCAAAAGACCCGAAGTGGAGGGAATGTGTGAAGTGCGGCACTCTTGTTGATAATGTCAATGCACGAGGCATGCTGTAGGACAGATTAAGAACAGAAGGCATGCTATTGTGCAAGTTATTCAACCTTCCAAGAAACAGGAGAGAGTTCGTATATTTAGCAAAGTGCTGTGCTTTTTGTACAAACTGTGTCAGATCTGCAGTTACAATGAGGGCTTTCATGATTTCAGGTCATTTTATTTGGGGAAATTAAACAGAAATAGCGACAAGAGGGGGAAAGCAAAAGAAGATAAAGGGCAAGAGAGTCATCTTCACTTTTAATTTATTTAATAGCCTGCGTGACATCTTTACAACCCTTTTAATTCATATCATGTTATACCCTAGAAAATGTTCAGAAAATATTAACTTTCTACCCTGTCATATCCATATGTACCCTATATGTGATATATGCCAAATAAATAAATAAAAGCTTTGTAGGTTTTTTTTTCTTACATAAGTGGTAAAAAAAATATATATCTATAAGTAATTGCAGCTGTCAAGTCTGTCTTGAACTTGCATGTTAATGTATAATAACTCCACCTACAGGATATTATTATTGCAACTGTTATATTCTGTGCACCCTGTACCCCCAAAAGCTGGAATGGCGGCAGACTCAGTTCTAAAACAGGTGTGCGCTCTCTAGGTAAAAAAAAAAAAAAAAAAAAAGGTGTCTACAATAATAAACAAGTTACACTGTAAAATAACATTAAATTAATTTTAACATAAACCTGAATAAAATAAATAAATCTTAACAATTTCCATCATATAATAAAACTATAAATAGATCAAAGAAATACTTGGTTTACAAAATTGTGCTCTTTTTTCCGTGTGACCTCACGGGGTGACCTTTTTTTATTCAATGAACAACAACATTATACAACACTATGAATAACGACCGAGATAAAATTACCGCCACGGGGAATAATCGAAATAATCACTTAATTTCTCTCAGTAAGTGTGTTTTCTGTAAATACATTTATTTATTAACATCAATATTTGTCTCTGTATGTATGGAATGTCATCAAAATTATGACAAGATTAATGAAATTAAACTGTTTTTCATCTCCCTTAAAATAATTTGTGAAGCCACAAATATTTGAACAACTTCACGGAGTGAGTGACCTCCCCCTGCCGCTCGTGAAAATTTAACGCTGCGCAAAAGTTACGGAGCAGAGCTGATCTCAGGTCAGCCCCAGAGAGAGCGAGCGGAGCGGCGAGAGCTCCGGCGGACGAGGAGGGACTTGGAGCGGCGTCCCGAAATAGTAGAGCAAGAATAACAAACAGTGAAAAGTACGCTATGCGTGTCCGGTCAAAGTTCACTCCTGTCTACTCGTGAATGTCAGAAACTGAGGGAAAACCCGATGAGGCTAACTGACACCTTTGGAGAGCCTGAGCGACAAGGCTGTAAGGGATAGCGAGCCTTCTCTCCACCTGACCTGGATAACCACCACCATCATCATCATCATCATCATCATGGTGTTCTTATCCTGCAAGACTTTTCCATTCGAATGTTAAGGATCGATCCCAGCTCTGGCCATGGGGATGTGTCACAGCTTCAGATCTAGGTTATCACAGTCGGCGATCTCATACACCGGCGGACGGACCGGTGCGAGTCCCGGGATCGATGTCGAGTCCGGTCATTTGGACAGTTGTGACACGCAGCTCAGAGAGCGGCGGCGGGTGGAGGAGAGGGCGCGGGTCAAATCGGAGAACAAACGGAGTCGAAACATTGACAAGAGCCTGAAGGCGGAGAAGAGAGAGTACAAGCAAACGCACAGGCTGCTGTTGTTAGGTAAGAGGATGGTGCGACTACTTTATCTGCTGTCAAGGTAAATGAGAGCAGCCACGAGCCGACGCGTCCGACGGAAAGTTTGCGACTGGCCCTTTAAAACACGTTACCATGGCAACCGTCGTTTCCACCTATATACTGTGGTAGCTTTTTTAAGTGTTAGAGGTGATGATGAGCATCTAGAATAAAATGAGCATAAACAAGTTTTAAATGCATTAAGTATTATTGGCCTGTACCACTTAAGAGGCCTTATCCTTCTCCACTAACAATTAAAATCATACAATGTAGCATCTGTTGAATGCATATAAACTTTAGATATAAAAATGGTAAAAACTTTATTAGCATACTTAAGTATTAATCTTTACTCAAGTACAATTGAAATGGAATACTTAATTACATTTACATTGATTATAAAATGATACTTTTTACTCTGTTCTTCATTTACACAAATTACATATTTTGCAGGTCCACATGACTAAAGACTATTTTGGTTAAATGCAAGCATCAGCATCTGTGGCCTGCTGTTGATTACCAGAGAATAGAATCAGGTCTCATTTAGTAAGTAAAAAAAAGGGTCTTACCCATGTTCTCATTCATAGGTTTATTTTATTTAATAAAAATGCATATATTTTGTTCATTTAATGTTTACTGCTAAACAAAGAGCCGCATAAATGTTAAACTGTAGACACTATAAACCCATATAGCAGCTCCTTTCACTGACCACTTGCTGAGAAAGAAAATGAAGTTTCAGGTCCTATTTTGTACTTTGTCCATGGAAAGTACTGTGAAAGGTTGTTTTGTGGTATTTTGGTGGAAACTATTGTCATCCTGGTTTTCAGTCGGTCACTGAAAAACATATTGATTGACCGCTATTCTGAATATGCCCCCTAAAATGTCTACAGTGCAAAAACTTTTGAGTTTCATATGGCCTGAGCTTTTTAACTCAGATTAAACCTGGTTTCTGTGATGTTCATGGATTGTCATAACAATGAAAGCATCTGGTCAAGATCTAATCTGTAGCAGGAAAACTGGCCCTACTTGTTTTTTTTTTGTTTAGCAAAGAATGAAATTTTAACTCAGACATTTTTTGCAGAACATAAATCTAGACATTCTGCTGATTCCGGTCTAAAATTGTAAAAAAGTGAAGTGAAACTGTTTTCCAAAGACCATTTAATTTTCTAAAACTGCAGTGCTATTCTTGTGGCATACATTTTATTATTTTTTCCCCTTCCGCCTACTTCTGCACTAGTCGCATGGCTCGACTTCCTCTTTGGATAAAAAAACCAAGTGTTGCTGAATATTTTCTGTGAACCAAGATGAGACTTACATTACATTACATTACATTTAGTCATTTAGCAGTGCTATAACAAGTCTCAGTTAGCTTAACGCAGTACATGTAGCAAGCGTTTTTTTAAATAATATAATAAATAAAAAAGAAAACAGATAGATTAGAAAATGGAATCCGCTCTTGCCAGTCTTAGGGCTTCAACAACTGAGAGCAAGGCAGTCTTGGTTGAATGTCCACTTCTGAAACCAGACTGGTTGCTGTCAAGGAGGTTGTTCTGTGTGAGAAATGTATAGAGACTTGGTTGAACACAGCTCGTTCAAGTGTTTTTGCAATGAAAGGAAGAAGGGAAACCGGTCTGTAGTTCTCTAAAAGAGATGGGTTAAGGGTGGGTTTCTTAAGTAGTGGGGTTATACGAGCCTGTCTAAATGTTGAGGGAAAAACACCAGTGTGAAGGGATATGTTAATGATGTGAGTGATTGCAGGTAAAGCTTAATACATAGACTTAATGTGTCTATGCCCATCGGTCTGGAATATATGTAGATTTAAATGTGTGACGAATCCCAAGAAATTTCTAGTGCCTTATTTTTTTCTTTCAAACTCGTTGACTTCCCCTTTGGCCTTCCTTGGAGGCGCAAACAGTGTTAGAGCAGTCGTGGTTTTATAAAGTAGCATTACACAAGGCCTCATATGCCGCTACCTTTATGAGAGCTGTTCTTCTTTTTATTAACAAGTTACACAAGAAAAGGAGGGCAGCCTGACGACACAACCGAAGAAACTGTTAAGCTCTGTGACCAAAATACTCTAGTCATGCGGGTGCTCGGTTCAAAAACAGATGACACACACATACAAACCTGATTGTTGCAACCTTAGAATGTAGGAAAACG